TCACAACCATTGAACTCTGTGTTCATAACACAACGAATCATTAAGGTGAATAAAAATCGAGTTACTCTGAATAGTCAAGTAAGGTCCTATTATTGATTATCTTATCCGCATTGGGGTCACTGCAGCTGCATAAAACTTTTACTCTAGCCGCTAGAGTAGTTGTTTGCACTAACACATGTTTCGAGGCAGTGGCATAGCGGCCCCGCCTCCCAGAGAAGTTGATCGCACTAACGCACGTCTCGAGGCAGTGGCATAGCGGCCCCGCCTCCCAGAGAAGTTGATCGCAGTAACGCATGTCTCGAGGCAGTGGCATAGCGGCCCCGCCTCCCAGAGAAGTTGATCGCAGTAACGCATGTCTCGAGGCAGTGGCATAGCGGCCCCGCCTCCCAGAGAAGTTGATTGCACTAACGCATGTCTCGAGGCAGTGGCATAGTGGCCCCGCCTCCCAGAGAAGCTGACTGCACTAACGCATGTCTCGAGGCAGTGGCATAGTGGCCCCGCCTCCCAGAGAAGCTGACTGCACTAACGCATGTCTCGAGGCAGTGGCATAGTGGCCCCGCCTCCCAGAGAAGCTGACTGCACTAACGCATGTCTCGAGGCAGTGGCGGAGCGGCCCCGCCTCCCAGAGAAGTTGATTACACTAACGCATGTCTCAAGACAGTGGCATAGCGGCCCCGCCTTCCAGAGAAGCTGATTGCACTAACGCGTGTCTCAAGCCAGTGGCATAGCGGCCCCGCCTCCCAGAGAAGTTGATTGCACTAACGCATGTCTCGAGGCAGTGGCATAGTGGCCCCGCCTCCCAGAGAAGTTGATTGCACTTAGTGCATTAGTGTGTTAGTCTAACGCATGTCTCAAGACAGGGGCATAGCGGCCCCGCCGTCGAGAGAAGTTGATTGAGAGTCGCTGGGAGGTCCAACTGAACAACTGATCGAATGCCAAGCTCGATAGCAGCGGCGGCGGTCGGGATAAACATTTTATTACTCCAACGACCATGAGTGCATCATTGTTCAGTGTTCATGGCTTTTTATGAACCTACTTGATGTGGGTTCTCAATTGAATTCACAACCATTAAACTCTGTGTTCATAACACAACGAATCATTCAGGAGAAATAATCGAGTTAGTCTGAATGGCCAAATAATGACCTATTATTGATGATTTTACCCGCATCGGGGTCACTGCAGCTGCATAAAACTTTTGTCATGCTACGGCAGTCCCCTGGGAACCCAGGACGACAGTTACGTACTACAGACGCACGAGACCTGTGGGTTATCAAAGCAGTGACCCTGTAGTTTCCCATCAACCGTCTCGACGTCATAGCAGTTGTTATAATTACGGACGGTCACAGGCGGGCACGAACGGGAATAGCAGATGGTAACGATCTTAGCTGTTGCCACAGCTGTGTTAACCCAACCGTGAAGGGCGACAGCAAAGAAGGCAGCGATGGTCAAACCGATGAAACGCATAGTAACAACTCAGCTGACAAGGAAAAAGATGAGGGCAATCCGGCGAGAAAGTCAAGGTTCATCTGTCTCATCTCCAAGATGTGTTGTGCCACTCGACACTTGTAGCCGAAGTGACGAGAAAAAAAA